GCTGCCGCGCGAGCGCCTTGGCGGCGGCAGTCGCGCGCGCGTCCACCCTCTTGCGGTGCTCGGCCGCCGCCAGCGCCGCGCGCTGCTCCGCGGTCCGCGCCGCAAAGGCGGGCGCGGCGGCAAAGGCGGCAGAGGCGGAGGCGGTGGAGGCGGAGGTGGCGGCGGCTGAAGGGCGTGAGGCGGCGAGTGGCGAGCGGGCGAGCCCGGCGGGCAGCGGGGTGAAGCCGGGCGAGGCGGCCGCCGCCGCTCCGCTGGCGCGCAGGGCCGCGGGGGAGCGGGCGCCGAGAGGCGTGCAGGCCGGCGCGGCGGTGCGAGGCACCGCCTCGCCCCAGCTTGCAGTTGCGGCGGCGGCGGCGGCGAGCGACGCGGGAGCGGGGGCGGGCCGCGAGCGGAAGACGTGGTCATAGTCGAAGGCCGGCGGCTCGGGGACGGGGGCCATGGCGCCGCCGCGCAGGTTGATGAGCGAGGCGGCGTTCTCCTGCGGGCGCGCAGCGGGCAGGTCGTCGCCGGCGCCCGCCGCGACAGGCGAGCGGGGAGGAGCTCACCCTGTCATCCAGGAGCCCGCCAGAGGAGAGCATGTTCCGAAAGCCCCACGCGGAGTTCAACACCTTTCGCCGCTTGGGTGGGGCGGCCCTGCGGAGGTGGGTGCGGCGGTGGGCGGGGGGAGGCGGAAGGGCGGAGGGGCGGAGGGGCGGGCTGGGGCCGCGGACCCGTAGCCGGCGTCGAAGGACGAGCGCTTCTGCCGCCAGGACGCCGCGAAGAGAGCGGCCGGGTGCATCGCCGAGAGCAACAGGAGAGCAGCGACAAAAAGAATTCGGGGGCTAGCCGGGCCAGCGATAGTCTGCTTTCTTTCTTTCTTTTAGCGATAGGCGCGTGGGCGAATATGTAAGGCAGCAGGTCAGCAGAGAGCAGGACACTCTCGATCGGGCTCTCGAAGGCGCCCGTTTCATCGCTGTCGCGCTTGTGCAACCCGCGCGGCTTCTATTTATTTCTGCCCATAGGCCGAGAGAGAGATTTTTAGCAATACCAAACAAATCTAACACTCACACGTCATTTGGGGCCTGGAGCCCTGTTCACGCGCGCGCGAGACGTGCAGACAGGGTTGCCAGGTGAGAGCGAATGGCGCGGTTCACGCCTCGCACAACAGAGAGAGAGATGCGCTCTGCATGGTGGGACATAAAAGAAAGCGAGTACTTGGGCGAGTAGGCCGTGCGGTCGACGCTGCTTGTTTGTTAGGCCGTGGTTGAGGGGTTTGGGTTGAGGCCCCCCTCAACCATCTGGTTGACGTGTGAGACTCCCCGTCAACCCTTTAGTTTGGGGGTTGAGGCCTCCGGGGCCTATTCACAGCCTTGTTATGAGAAGAAAATACGTCCTATGGCTTTGCGCTGGTCTGTGAGAGGTTGAGGTGCGAGCCCTGGAGGCCCTGGGGATGGGGTTCACAGGCTCGGGGCTCGCGCGCGTGATCACAAGATAAACTGAACCGCCCTGCCGCCAAAATCCAAAAAATCGCTTCGCCTGCAGATTCTTACGAAACCGTTACGCAAAAGCATGCGCGACTTGCACTCTTTCGTGCCACTCCCGCTCGCCGGTGCGCGGGGCATGGCCTCCCGCGCAGCTCGCGCTCACTCGGCCTGCCTCCGCCTCGCGGCTGGCTGGGCACGCCATGGGTCCGCCGGGTGCGGCGCTGCTCGCTCACTGCGCTGCACAAAGCTGCGAGAAGCAGAGGGGCCTCCTGAGCTTGAGCATTGCGCAGCGCGGCTGCTGGTGCTCGAGGGCGGCCGTGGTGGTGGCGTGAGGGCCTGATTGGTGGTTGACCTCGTGCTGCTTCAGCGTGCGCAGCATGCTCCCTCACCCAGTGCTGAGACATGCTGGTGGGCGACTGGCGCCAGCTTCCCAGTGCTGTCCTTGGCGTTGTGCAGCATGTCGCAATACTCCTGTTGCGCTGACCGGCGCGCGGGGTGCGTCGTGCCGCGAGTGGAGCGAGAGGCTCGAGGCGCGCGGCTGTCGGTCAACCCTGCGGCGCATGCGCGCCGCCAAGGCTGCTCGACAGGCGACTGGCATTGTGGCGACGCGGTCGCCGTTACTCCAACTTTGCTTTGCCGATCCTTTGCTTTTTAGTACTCCACCGCCACCTTGGCCTGCGACCCCATGTAGAAGTGCAGCTCCTCGCACAGGTGTTGGCGCAGCTTCCGGAGCTCCCCACAAGTGCTGGCCCCTCGAGGGGCCAGCTCCGCCGCCCGTCGAAGCTCGTCCGCCTTCTCGGCAACTCTCTGACTTACCTCATCTGGAGCCCTTACTCGCGCCCGGCGTGTGCCTCGCCAGCTCGAGTAGATCGTGAAGAGGACGGAGTGGAACGCCGCCGATGCGGCGTATGCCCCTTCCCCCTCGCTCTTCTCCCTCTTCCGCAAGAGCATGCAGCACGAATTCTTTCTTTCCCGTGCCAGTGCGAGCCAGTAGCCAGTGCGAGGGAGCTGTGTCTGGTAAATTTCTTTCCCGGCTTCCCTCCAACTGGGCGGCCTTCACCAACTCGCAGGCCCTTTTGCCCTCTCTCGGAGACACACTGCAACGCGCCTGAACACATGGCGGGCCAGTCGTGGGGCGCCCTCGAGATCGTCGACGAGGCGGACGCGACGCCCCGTGTCGTGGAGCTCAGGGGCGCGAGCGCAATCGTTGTCGGGCGCACCCACCAGGCAAACGTGGTCATCCCCGTTCCGTTCGTCTCCTCGGCGCACTGCACGCTGCACTGCGTGGGCGCCGAGTCGGGCACCGAGCTTCCCCGCGTGCGGCTGGTGGACACGTCGTCGAACGGGACCTTCATCAACGGCAAGCTGATCGGCAAGAATGGCGAGGTCGACGTCGCCGAGGGAGATACGCTCACCTTCTCGCGCGCGCAGCGGTACCCGCTCGCGCGGCTCTCGTCGCTCGCCGCGCCGCTCCCGCCATCCGCCGCCGAGTCCGACTCGGACTCCTCGCGCCCCGCCAAGCGCGGCCGCGCGGGCGCGCAGGACAGCGCCTTCCTCGCGAACGAGGTGCTCTCGGAGCGGGCCTGCAACGAGAGGCTGCAGCGGCAGACAACAAAGCAGCAGGAAGAGCTCTCGGCGCAGCGCGAGGAGAGCCGCTGCCCCGCCCCGCCCCGCCGCGCGCCCCCGCCGGCCCCATCCCTGCCAGCGCCTCCCGCGCGCGCGGCGCTCGCGCGTCCTCGTCCGC